CATTTCCATTTCTGGTATACTAAAGGATATACAAGACCAATAAAAAGTTGTGGGACTAGGTGTCCTGCACTATATATCAGTTTCCCGTGATTTATAATTTACTATTTTACAGTATGTATTGATAAAATATAACTTTTTTAACATTTAATTATTTTTATGTTTTCCATTTTTTGACAAGTTGGCCTTTTCCTTAGAATCTAAAAATAACAGCCAGTGGCTTGTTATATTAATACCAAAAATTTAATGGCCTTATTTTATTTATTTATAGTATTTATATGGAAATTTCATCTGAATCTATTGAATCTAAGTTTTTTTAATCAAGAAAACCGTGACTTCTCTTTTGTATTTGCCACCAAAGCCACTTCAGCCGTTTACAGCCACTCGTTTATGGCAGCTGTAGTAACAATGGAATTTCTAAATATTGTAACGATTGACGTTCTAAAAATAGTATTTACGCGATACCAGCTGATACACATTACTATTTATATATTACTATTAATATTAAATGTTAATATACTTGTTTTAATATTTCGAATAAAATTATTTCATTCTATTCGAATTAAAAAATTTATTTGAATTGTCATTTTGTTTGTTTTTTTGTTTTATTTGAATTATTCAGTTTATCTGTTTTATTTGAATTTTTGTTTTATTCATTTTATAAAATATAGGTCTTATTTCTTTAACAAGATAATATAATAAATTACAATAAATACATTTATAATCTATATTACTATTACTATGGTTGCTAGTAAGTACTATGACTTAAGAAAAGAAAAGAAAAATGTCAGCTACTACTACTACTATTTATTTATTATATACAAGGACTAATAAGAAAAATAGATTGATAAAGAAAAAAATTTAATTTGGACCAGATTAGCAATGTGCATATTAATATCTTATATCTGATGAAATAATAAGGACAAATGACAATTATCATGGAAAATGCTACTTTTCTGATATTGAAATATTTATTTCAGAGGATCAAATAGAACATTTCAGTAGTGAAAATGGGGTATGGTATGGTAAAGTATGTGTCACTCATTATTTATCTATAATAGCAAATTTTTATTTTAATTGATTTTTAATTATAGTTTATTTGTTCAGTGCTTGTTATTATTAGAAATAACTTTTGAAGATGATAATAAATTTCAGAATCTACAATTGGTTATGGTTCAATGGTATGATTATGCTGATATTGCAGCTAAAAAAAAGATATTAACAGCAAATACAAAGATGGATAAATGGCACAAATTAGGATGCCAATACATGAAATTATTAGATTCATATGATATAATACCTTTAGAATCTGTTTTAAGAGCTATACATATAGTCCAAGATTTTAACAAAGAAAACAGATATTTTGTTAATAATTATGTTTAAATATTTATTTCAAGTATTATATTCAATAGATAGGATACAATTTAGTTCACATATTAAAAAAAAACTCATATTTTGTAAAAAAAAAACTCCAAAGTTATATTCGTTTATTGTTCACTTATTGTTTGTTTATTGTTTGTTTATTGTTTGTTTATTGTTTGCTTAATATTTGAGGTGTATAATATTTGTAATATAATACATATTTAATACATATTAAAATATAGCTGCATTATCTACACAAAATATGCATATTAAATATGGGCATGTATAATATACACTTTAATCTATGTATTTAATATGCCAAATTAAATTATATATATATAATACATATTTTATAGCAAATATTATTTGTATATTTTTTAATGCAAATTTTAAACAAATAATAAGCAAATATTATTTGCTATAAAATATAGAATAATCGAATAATATACAAATAATAAGCATACAGAATTTATTATACTAATTACATGCTAATTATACATAGAATATTTGGAATTGGTTTTCCTGATGGACTCACTATACTTGTTTATTATTATAATGAGAGTGATTATGTGCCTTAATATTAATTAATTAAAATATCAAGAATCTGGTTACTATTCATTGTGTATTAATTAATTAAAACATCAAGGGTCTGACATCTTTGTAGGGATTTTATTTCATAATGCATGTCAGACTTATTTATTTGTTTTATCTGTTTATTTATTGATTATTCAGTTTATTGATTATATAAAAATAGTGAGCCTAGATTAGGTTTAGAGTAGGGCTTCTATTTGAATAAGAAATTAATTTGAATAAGGAAATTAATTTGAATAAAGCAAATAATTTGAAAAAATTAATTCAGATAAAACAAAATAATTAAGGTCCAGTTTAAATTCAAGCTCACTGGAAAGATTGCTATTTATTAAAAGAAACATGAATCTTGTTTC